AAAGGGAAAGGGAAAGGGAAAGGGAAAGGGAAAGGGAAAGGGAAAGGAAGGGAAGGGAAGGGAAAAGGGAAAAGGGAAAAGGGAAAAGGGAAAAGGGAAAGGAAAATGGAATAATAGAAATAATCTAATAATGGAATTCTAAAATAATAGGAATAATGGAATAATAAAAACAACTGGATAATAGAAATAAGAGAATCAGAAAAAGATTAATAGGAATGTAACAATGGGAGTGATTGACCCAGAGAATCCTGGAATTGTGGAATAACAGACATGTTAAAATAATAGGGATAGGAGGGATAATGGAATCACAGAAATAATGGAATGATAGGAATAAGGCAGTAGAAATAATAGAATAATAAAATGATAGAATCATAAAAATAATAGAATCAGAGAAATAACAAAATAATAAAAATAATAAAAAAAATAAAATAATAGAATGACAGAAATAATAGAAATAAGACAATAAAAATCAGAGAAATAACAGAATAATAAAATAAAAGAATCATAACCCCCATCCTTTCCGGCCTCTTAAGAGCCGATTTTCCCTAAAAAGCTGCTGCTCTTCCCAGTTTTTCCTCCCCCCCCAACTCCAGGATTGTTTTCCAGGCACAACTCAGACAAAGGGGCCCCCAAATCCCCCCCGGAGCGGCCCCTCCATCCCAAATCCAGGTGGGATTCGCCCCCTCCCGCTCCCGGGCCGAGTTTCCCGGGAGGATCAAGCCTGGCTTGTCCCTAATCCCGGTTTATGAGCTGAGCTGTTTAAACAGGGCCTAATTAATCCCGATTTTATTGCTTTTCCCGCGCCGAGCGGCTGAGGGGGAGCTGGGAGCTGCTCAGATCCCAAAATTACCTCGGCAGGACCATCTGCTCCAGCCCAGTGCGGGACTGTTCCTCCCTCTGGACACAAACAGCCCAAAAAAACCTGGGATCATCACGGAGGGGTCCCAAAAATCCTCTCACGGCCCAGGAGAGGTCCCTAAAAGCTCCCAAATCCAGCTGGGAATGTGTGTTTCCTCCTGGAGAAGCTCCCAAATGGACCATTCCCTCTTCCCGTGGCTTCCCAATCCCTTTCCCTCTCTCCAACCGTTCCCAGCGATTCCCTGGAAGGAGGTTGGCCCCACGTGGGGGTTGGAATCTTCTCCCAAGGGACAGGACGGGAGGAAACGGCCCGGGCAGGTTTGGGTGGGATATTGGGAAAAATCCCTTTGTGGAAAAGATTGGAACATTCAGGGAATGGGGGAGTCGAGATCCTTGGAAACGCCCAGAAAACCTTTGGAAGCGGCACTGGAGGACACGGATGCTGGGTCGATGGTTGGACTGGACCATCTCCGACCTCATTCCCGACCTCCAGCCCTGATTTCCCTTCCTGCACATCCCAAATCCCACCTGGGTGTCCCAAATCCCACCTGGGCATCCCA